AACATAGGTTTTCTAGGGATGAATAGAACTAGTATAAGCAGTATAAAACATAGCTTGTTTGGGAATAAATAAAGATGGTATGGAGACTTGTAAACATAGCTTTTCTAGAAAGTACTTTGTAGTCGAACAAATCAATAAATGAAGTTTAATTGCAATGAGCTTTCAACATAAATCATTTTAATTTATTTTTCTTTCATGTCAAAACACATAATAACATAATTCCATGTTATTTTGATAACACATTTCAAATTCTTGTCATGCTATTCTAAGAATAAATTAAAAATTTCAGGCATGTTATTCAATTTCGGTGACTTAAGTGTTTTTTTGGTTGTTGTTTTTTTAACCTAATAAAGTTAGATAACTTAGTCGTACGTCTCACAATTTATATTGTATTTGCAGGTCTAGTTATATTGGGTCTACCATCAGATGGCTAAAAACACGTGCAAATTTGATAAGTGTCGACAAGTCTATTGTAAAAGATCAAGCTATTGGAGACTATGAAACATTAATATACTCATCCGTTTAATATCATGTCCAAATGCAATGTGAAAGAAGTCTAAGTATGAAATAAACATTGTAAATTCGCAAGGTAAGACGTTAACTAAACGGAACTAATTCATGAATTGATTTACTGATAAAAATTTAACCGGTTGTCTATTGGTATAAGTTAGTGTTATAACACGTTGTAATGTCTGGTCAGGGTGGTACAATATTACATTACAAACTTCAGTCATGGTAGTTTAACAATACAATACAGTGTTCAGTCATGTTAGTTTTACAACACATTACAATATCCAGTCATGTTAGTTTTACAACACATTACAATATCCAGTCATGTTAGTTTTACAACACATTACAATATCCAGTCATGTTAGTTTTACAACACATTACAATATCCAGTCATGTTAGTTGTCTCCACAGAGAGACATACATTTTTTTTTCTATTGTTTCTTCTTCTTCCAAACACTTTTCAATCGAGCGCCATTCTCATGTTTCTCGGTGTATTAATTTGACACTTGGTAGGGTTATACCTTGGGCCAATATCCCCAGACTCCTTATTCATTTTTTTTATTTGGGTCTTTTTAAGGATTTTATGGGGTCAAAGGTCAAACAACCCACAAACGTATATGTTGGGCTCCTGTGCGATCGTATTTACAGCAATCAAGATAAAAGTTTGAACAAATATAAATTTTCATGCACCCAATATATTGACATATAAAAAATTGGATTTGCCCATTTTGAGTACTTTTTAGGGGGCTCAAAACTCACAAAAAGCATAATTTTAGAGCTGTTTGGTTAATTAATTAGCCTTGTTTGGAGCAACTTACGTGGAATTTGGTACAAAGACACTTTTTTTACAGGTCCCACACATGGACAACAGAAATTGTGGGCTTGCCTATTTTTAGTAACTATAGAGGGGTTAAGATGCCACAGAAAGCATGATTTTATAATTACTCCGCCTTATTTCGGCCAACTTACATGGGATTTGGTACAAAGGTACCTTCTTGCAGGCCCCAAGGACCTGTTGAGGACCTGTACAAAGATACTTTTGTAAACTTTCCTAAACAGAGATATAGACAATTTTGGAATGCTTAACTTTTGTTCAATTTTTCAACGAGAAAAGCACAGTTTGGAGTTTTCTTGAACAATTCATGTGTATGTCAACGACTTTACACGGGATTTGGTACAAAGATACTTTTGTACAGGTCCTAAACAGAGATATAGACAATTTTGGAATGCTTAACTTCTGTTCAATTTTTCGACGAGGAAAGCATAATTTGGAGTTTTCTTGAACAATTTATGTTTATGTCAACGACTTTACATGGGATTTGGTACAAAGGTACCTTCTTGCAAGCCCCAAGGAGTGATATAAACAGTTTTCGATTTTCCTGGTGTTAAAATAAGCCATGTTGGGGTTGCGTGGTGGAGACATGTTGAATTCGCCCGCGAATGTTGGCCTCGTTAATTTGATAATACATTACAATGTCCAAGTTATATTTCCAAAGACCTGCATATGAAAACTCATCGACGTTACAATGTCATATATAAACAAAGGCTTATTTAAGGGATATTTCAAAGTACAAACAAAGTAAAAATACTCAAAATCATTAATATGTGGTATATAGATAAATGTTTTTTTTGGGGGGGGTATAACAGATAATATGCAAATGTAGGGTTTTAAAGTTATAATGAACTTCATAGCTAAAGGGTTGTTTGGGGGTTATATCAAAAATTCATAAATGAATAGAGTGAAATATCTCAAAGAATACTTTCTTCATGATATATCATCTTTAGTCACGTGGCAATGCCAAGTATTATTTGAAATTAATTATGTTGACATTTGTATGTGTTCTTGAGAAACATAGAAAATGTAACTATGACAATCTACCTTTGAACTAAAATATTGAATGATAATGATAATCGATGTGGAATATCGACTTCCATGATTATAAGATATTACAAGAACACATACTTAATTATCCTACTTCATGTGCAGTTTCAATATTGTCAAGTAATACAAAGAGTCCCGCTTCGTGGGTATTAATGAGTATATTAAGCCGTGGAACTTAAGTCTAATTATTTGCAGATAAAGCAAAACGCTATGGTATTCATCTTATGTTAATTTGTAATATTTTACAGCGCGTGTACTCGAGATGAATGGAGGTAGTAATATTAAGTGACACTAGGTAACGTTAATTCAGAAAAATGACTTACCTTTTCGCTAAATGCTAACTCATCTCCCCATGTATCATTGCGTAGATGGGGGCACCAAACGTCATTGGATACTTCATGCCAGAGTTAATTTCTACATTTAATTATGATCAAAAGGTTCTTCCAATTAGTTCTAATCAGCTTTTCGATACACGCATTTTGTACTCAAGACGTTAAACCAGGTTATATAATCTAAAAATAGAGCATTAGACATGGCATAATTTGATCGCGCATAACGGATTACGTTAATTCAAAACAAATCCCGTAATTATAAACTGCGCATCAAGCGAAAGAAGTCTTAAGATCACAAATCGTAGCGAAACTTTATTTTCTTGTAATTATAAGCCTTTTCTCTGTTTTCTTTAGATTGCATATCAGTTAAGGTGAATTTTATTAATACTCTCACATGTCAAAGGTAATCACAATATATATATATAAAGAAGATAATCCAGAACTGTTAATATGCTACTTAAAATAGAGCTTCACAAGTTGCGGAAATTAAATTTATTTAAATATATAACGATATACAAAACCAATTCTTGCATCGGATTAGACGGTTTCAAAAACAGTTAACCGCTAACGTAGCTATTTTAATGTAAGTGATAGCGCGATAAGTTCACCGTCTAAAATCTGAGACTTTTATTATTGATATACTTACCTTTCGCACAAACAGAGTCGGTAAAGTTCATTCTTTGGTGGTTCATGTGCTTACCTTTCGCACAGACAGGTCCGATAAAGTTCTTTCTTTGGTGGTTCATATGCTTACCTTTCGCACAAACAGAGTCGGTAAAGTTCATTCTTTGGTGGTTCATATGCTTACCTTTCGCACAGACAGGTCCGGTAAAGTTCTTTCTTTGGTGGTTGCAACCACCAAAGAAAGAACTTTACCGAGTCTGTTTGTGCGAAAGGTAAGCATATCAACCACCAAAGAAAGAACTTTACCGAGTCTGTTTGTGCGAAAGGTAAGCATATGAACCAACAAAGAAAGAACTTTACCGGACCTGTCTGTGCGAAAGGTAAGCATATATATGCTTACCTTTCGCACAAACAGACTCGGTAAAGTTCGTTCTTTGGTGGTTGATATGCTTACCTTTCGCACAGACAGGTCCGGTAAATTTCGTTCTTTGTTGGTTGATCTGCTTACCTTTCGCACAGACAGGCCC